CAGCGATGTTGGTGCCGGCGAAGGCGCGGAGGATGTCGGGGTTGGCGTCGAAGATCTTGACGCGGTCGATGGTGGTCTTGGTCTTGAGAAACGTGGCGACTTTGGAGGGCGGCGGGAGGTTGTCTGCTATGGTGCCGTAGTTGACGCCGATGGAGTAAGCGGTGGTGTGGAGGATGACATGACAGGCGGAGAAGAGGAGGAGAGGGAGGAGGGAGAGCTTGAGTGGTGGCTCCATGTCTGAAAGGTGTTGGAGATTTCTCAGCTAGCAGCAGACGTTTGTGAAAACTTGAAAATTTATGACTAGATGAAGGGGGAGGGTGTTGAGCGTGCTTTGATGAAGGGGACGTTTCGTGTTTGTCGAGTTTGCCGTCCTTAACGTGTTTGTCGTGTACGAACGATGGTACACACGTGTTTTCATAAAAATAGGAAAAAATTGTATTTAGTACACTACGTATTTTCATATAAATAGAAAAAAATTGTATTTGATATACCACATATTTTCATATATAATAAAAAATTATATTTTTTAAGTTATTAATTTCTTTTACACAAATATTTTACTGTTTATATAATAACACATAATGTATAGCTTCGTATTGTAATCACATTGAAATCTCTGGAAGGGACGTTTCGATTACATTTTTAGTTTATCGGTCAAAAAGGGGGAGTTGATGAAGTGGAGACTGGAGAGACGTGGCGTGGTGGGTTAATTGCTTCTGGTGTATTGGGTTATTTTGGTATTTTAGCAGTTAATATAATTCTCAGTGACAGTGATAGTGCGACAGTGCCAAGTGACCTGTGTTATGGTAAGTTCCGTCTGTTTTCCACTTGGAGTTCACAAAAATTCTACTGCGTTCTGAGAAGTATTACACGAACGAAAATAATAATACCGTTAAAAACGCAAACGGAAGTTAAACGATAAAGGATTTTAGTATGTAACGTTAAAAAATTTTGTATATCATTTTAGCCTAATAAAGATATTATTATGTTGAAATCTTTACAAAACAGGCCGAAACGATCATAGTTGGTTAATTAATTTATTAAGATTTGATTTCTCATCATTTTAGTTGATTCGTTGATGTCTTAAGGTAGAAAAAAACAGCAATGGTTAAATATTTCTAAATAAATAACATGTTGTAGTTTTTGCGTCTTTTGAAAATAGATCTACGTAATCGCACATGCTTATTATACTAAAAAATGACTAAAATATTATTTTGTATATGCTCTTATAGGTAGCCTACAAATGACAGATGATAAGTGCTTAATTTCACAGAGGTGGATTGTCTGCCCTCCCATTTTCATACTCTTCATATTCCCTCCTGTTTTATGTGGTCATGGTTAAGCCACGTCAACATTTTATATTCATATTACTTTTTTTTTATTAATTTTATAAAAAAATCAATATAAAATGTTGACATGGTTTAACCGTGATCACACAAACAAAATGAGATAAGAAGAGTATGGAAATGAGATGGCAGACAATCCACCTCCTAATTTCACATGGACATTACAATTTTTTATCAATTTAAAAGTACATCTTAGGAATTTGTCATAGAGTTACTATAAATGAGTTAAAATAGGCTTGATAAGCATATTGCTAAGAAAAATCCACCATCATTGCACAAGAAGGTAGCCTTCATCTCATCGTTTATTACAAATTTTTAACATTGCATTACCCTTACCAAATGAGTGGTGTTAAACTCACCCCATCGTCTTATCAATCCACCCACTTTAAAATGTAAATTCCAATGACAAATATCTTCTCTTATAAAATAACATTTAAGGACTTAAACAATAACCACTAACATTTTGCCACATCAGCGTTAGTTAAAATAGCAAAAAAGAAAAAGAAAAAGAAATTAAAAATCCACCCTATACAAACCCAACCAATCCACACCCGCATGGTGGCGTCAATGACAGCTCCTCCCTCTTCAAATTCCATCTATTGTGTATGTAGAACTCGTTGTACTGCTATATGAGTCTATTCAATCGAAACCATTGACAACGACCATGGGTAAGAAAAAGACCATTCTAATCGTTTTGCACCCGTACCTGCGAAACCCTTTTCCTGCCTAATCTCTTGTACAGTAGCCAAACTAACTGTGTCAACGACAATGGAGATTAGTCATGCTTCCTAGAGAATCGGGTTCGGTTTCTACTGAACTTGCCCTTTCGTCTTCTCTGAAAATTGGTTTCATATTATATGAGTAAGATGGGCTTTTTCTATCCAAGAACGAACAGGGGAAACAACATTAATGTATTCCTTCTTCAATCATTGTTGCCCCAAGCCAAGGAGCTTGCCATCTCATCCCATGGTTGGTTTTTTATTGAGATAAATATTTACATATATATTATACATACATATTTAGATATACATATTACATAAAATAAAATTTAAAGAACTTAAAGATATTTAAAAGGTTATAATTGGAATTATGGTGGGTGGGAAAAGAGTGATGTTATTATTTACCTTTTTATAGTGAGTGGGAATATAATATGGACAAGAAGATAAGACAATATGATGAGTTTAGTACCATTCTACCAAAATTTGAAGGCGGTAAACAATCCCGATATTTTATTTTCCCACCTACATATAACCTCACCCATAACAAAAGTTATAAAAAAGTCGAAATGCTATTTTCCCGGGTGCTATTATTTCTAAATAAACTATTAACTATTATATATATATATATATATATCTAATTTCTTTTTAATTTTTAGAAGAATAAATAACTTCTGCTCGCCGCCAAAGCATCCCTTCGCGATTTTTTTCCCGGTTAGAATTCCAAAAATTCGGTCACGATCCAGCCAATTGCACCTCTCATTCCCTCTCTCCAAACCCTCAACGCAACCCCTTTCCCTTGCCCTCCTACAATCAAGGCTCATACTACATTCGGAAAACTTCATCCTCATGCTCCATTTCCAAATTTGCTACAACCCAATCGCACGCCTCCAAGGCCAATTCCTTGTTCTGGTCTCCCATTTGATTTTTCAAATTTTTTTAAATATATTCGACATGGAACGCATATGATAGAGAAGAAGCATAATAAGGATAAAACCCATGCTCCAACATAGGAAGCTTTGTCATGATTAGAAGGTGATGGTGGTGAAGCATGAGTAGGCATAGATGGAGGACGTGAAGAATAGGAATTCATGATAGTTAAACAAAGTATTTGAGCTTTCACATTAACTTTCACATGCACTTGTAGTTCTTTATTCTTCCCAATAAAAAGGTATTTATAAAAACGAGATATAGACGAACTCAAAACAGAAAATACATAATTGAAATAGCAAACTTATTTTTGACAATAAACCTAGATATTATATTCTCCTAAAGTTAATTAGGAAATAAGACACAATCTCAATTGCTTTCTTATTTTCTCATTCTCCAAGTCTATAAGAGAAAGAGAGTGGGCAAAGAATTGAAGAGCTTTGTTAGCCCTAGTTATTTAATAAGGAGAATAAATACCGTACTTTAATTCCATTCGGAGGGAGGTTAACTTCTATTTTCCTTAGGCAACAAGTTTCCATTCGGAGGGAGGTTAACTTCTATTTTCCTTAGGCAACAAGTTCGACTGCTATCTGCCATCTGGAGAAAAATCAAAGGAAAAATTCTCTACTGTCTACTCCTGCCTTTGGCTTTGGGGTCAACAGCAATCTTCTTGAAAATCATTCTTCATTTCATCCCTCTCACTTTCTATTTACATTATTTGAAGTTGAATTGTCACCGTGAAGCGATGTAGTCATCGTGATAGTCGTCATCTCTTGGCCCACGCACACATTTAATACAAGGTTTTGGATCTAATTATCACCTTCGATATAAGGTTGAAGTGGGAAGCCATGAAAGATGTCGAATTGCATTGCGATCAAGTTTAGTAAGTACGACACTTTGGGTTTAGCCGGTGCAGTGATATGACATACGGATGTTCGAATGATGCGGAGCGGCAACATGAGTTTATCCTTTTATTTTGTTTATTTAATAATTTCCAGGAATTGTCCTGGAGTTTGGTTTGATTTCTCTCTATAGGAGAATTTGCTAGTTTGATTTCTCTCTTTAGGAGAGTGCATGATTTTAATTTTCGTTTTGGTGTGCTGCCTCTTTTGGATCTATGTGGCAAGGGTGGAGCTATTTGATTTGTTGGATCTACTTCATTTGATGTTTTGGGATCTTGGCTTTGATTAAGTGATGTGATTGATCCATGGGCATCGTACACCCTATCTCAATTTATGGTTTGAGGTTTTGTTCTCACATGATCTCCTGTAACACAAAGTTTAACAGTTTTATTGATCTGTGTAATTGTGCGGTTTCCAATAAGCTCGGACGAGTTATTGAAGTTTACTCATTACTTTGCGATTAGTGATGCTTTATTGGAATATTTTTAAATCTAGTTTGCAAGGACCCTTTTGGGGCCAAATTCTTGATATGTATTTGTAATGCCCTTTTATCAATGAATGAAATATCGTAATCTTCTTCATGAAAAAAAAAGTTCGATTGCTATATTGGTTCTCGTTTAGAATTTTTTTTTACAATGTGGCTGAAACACTGAGCAGTGTGCATACAGAGATTTACAAGAGGAAATATAGTTTTGCTGCGACTGTAAAAGGTAATAAAATGTTAACTTCAAATTAGGAAACAGCTCACGCCAACACTCTTCCAAGTTGGTGCATAGTACTGGACTGATGTGAGAGGGGGAGATTCCAAATTGAAATCTAATTTCGAAGAGATTAAAAAAAAAGGAAAAAAAAACAAGAGATTCCTTGGGCAACAAGTTTCAAAACTGGCCAGGGTGTTCCTGTCTGTAATGTGGTATTTAGGAAACAAAAATTAAAAAAAAAAAGACAGTAATCTCTCATTTTTCTTTCTAACCGTTGAATTGAATAAATAAATAAAAAAAAAGAGACAAAAAAAGAGTGCGTGAATCACACGCCATTAATAAAATAAAATGTTCTGAGAAAACAAAATATTCCAAAAATAAATAAATCAAATGCTTTGTGAACAATTGACAATCTAAAACTTAACAATAACCATTGGATTAGACCAACAGTTAATGTTAATCAGATTGTTGGAAAATCATTCTTTTGTTTTTCTATTTCCCCTCTTCTAAAACATAAAACTCACATATCCCTACTAAATAAACCGTCTTAACAGAAGGAAACAGATAAAACTAGACATGACTCAGATGTAAGTTTAGGAGACAACTGTTATATGTACTCCAAAATACGATTACACTAACATAAACTCGAACACGAGCACAACAAGCTTACTGTTAGTTTTGGAGTGCCAATAGCATCTCTTCGAACAAAAAACTACAACAAAGGAAAATATAAGACCGTTTTTGAATATCCCTGTAACCAAAAAATCCAAATGCCAAAAAACAATGTCGATGAGCTCTGCTGTCCTGCGATATGAATTCTTTCGATCCAAAAGATACCAAAAAAATATCAATAGGGAGGGAATACGGAGAAGGAGGATCTAATTTTGGTCAGTGTAGGTTTGTTGGAAAAAAGAGTGACCGTTTTCTGCAGTGCAACCTATGTGATACAGCAGGAGGGGATCAAAATGTTTCCGATGAGGGTGGACGCTATTTTTTGGATGGAACTAATGCGAATGCAGCAGCCCATTCTTTTGAAGTAGATTCAGGGACCTTTTTGTTATCAATAAAGGGTGTCCAGGACTCTCCGGAAGAGGCTGTAAGAACCCATTCCACCTTCTCGGGCACATTGTCATAATCAAAGTTCAACGCAGAAGTTTTCGGTTTTGTGCTAGACTTCTTTTTTTGGCTTCCAGAACCCTCAACAGACTGCCAAAAATAAGGTAGCCGGAAATTGGAAATTAGGGTTAAGAAAAATAAAACGGAGAAAGGTTACCGCTTTCAGCAAAATCAATTCTGACTCACTGTTTTGTCAACGCTAGCGTTCTCTGTTTTTGCCTTTTTAGCCGTTCCCGTTTCCAGAAAGCGAAGAACTTCTATCTTTGACCGAAACCGGCGACCTGAGACTGGATCAATGTAATACTGCAACAGATGATTTAAATCTTGCTCAGACTTGATTTCTGGAAAGCAATCTCTGATATTTTTATATTTCTGTAGCATTTAATTTGTCTAAAATGGAACTACCAAAGGAATAAAAGAACAACAAGCAACAACAAAGCAATGTTTTAAAAGGCGAAAGCGAAGCCAAGGCGTTCCATGGATAGCCTCGCCTAGGCGATCGCCTCACAGTACCTAAATGCCTAGGCGATATCCTCATGGATAGCCTCGCCCAGGCGATAGCCCCAAGTAATCAAATATTTGATTATTATTATTATTTTTTCTCTAACTGACATTATAAAGTCATAATAAACTAATAGAAACTAAGTTAGAAACAGAAAATTAGCATGAATTTTATAAAAACCCTGCCCAAAACGACGTCGTTTTGGGTTTGGGCTATTTTTTTATTTTTATTTTTAAATTCAAACGCCCAGGTCGCCTAGGTGCCTGAGGCGATAGCCTACACGCATGAAGCGATAGCCTAGGCATTTAGGCTAGTCTATGGCCCATTCCCATTGGCTAGAGGCGTTTTCTTTACAGCCAAACCGCCTAAGCGAGTCTTAAAACTAGTTTTTTAAAACACTGCAACAAGGACAAGCATCTTATGCCATCTGCAACTAAGTGCAAGTTCTTATGCCATTGCAAAAAAAAAAAAAAAAAAATCCTAAAACAGTTAATAAGTGGTGTAAAACTTTTTCTGTTACACTAGCGTCATATTATCTTCCCTCCTTTTACTATATATTTGTTTCTGGAAGGAACTGTAAGCCACTTCTTAGATATACAAATCTCAGAAGGGTAAAAATTGATGTGGCTTTTCTGGGTAGTGGTTACTGGATAAACTTATCAATGACTAAATGGCATCAGAACACGTTGGGTAAAAAACACTGTTTGATTGATAATGTCAGCTAATTAATGACTAAGACCTGATCCTTATGATACACAAAAAAGATTCATACCAAACTATATAGAAAGAGTAATTAACTAGTAAAACAATGTATTCAATAGAATGTACGGGCCCTTCTATACAGCACTGTATCATTTTTTTTTCATTCATTACGCTACCATACAAAGCCACGGGGACTGATTGAAACAAGCCTTGTGAACAGACTGGCAATCGCATTGCGAAAGTTGTAAATGTACCAAAAATGCTAAACACAGCTTGAACCAATAGGTCCTCGTGACTATCCAGAAAGCACATTCTTGGCGGTGCAAAGTGCAAACATCACATAATAACAGAGAACAGAATTTCTTTTGCGATAACCCATAATGTCATTTATGCAACCCAGAAATCAATATCCAGAAAGCACATTCTTGGCAATGCAAAGTCCAAAACGTCACATAATCATACCAAATATAGGATAATACAACCTCTGACTTTAGAGAATGACACCAAAGAAAACCGATACGAAAATTTTCCTCCCTAACGCCAATTAAAGATGCAAAATACGCATGTATACGCTGAAGCACATTTGACAAACAGACACATTTTTGTCCCCAACGCCAATTAAAGAAGCAAAATACACTTCATAATTATAACTGTATAACATCCGGGGGGGGGGGCAAGATAGGATGAAATCAAAGCTAATTAGTTACCTAATACAAAACTTAAATACCAACTCCTATAAAAACACAATATCTAAACCATAAATACCAAACATTTCACCCAAAACTGAAGCCCTTTTACTTATTTCTTTGCCCAACACCAAGTATTAAATTCTTGATTTTTAATGGGTTTAAGGTTTAAACACAAAATCTAATTTCCATTCAAAATAATAAACAGAGAATCTAATCGAAAATCTTTCGCCATTTTCTTTTCACAGAGTCATCAAACCAGCATTAATCAACATCAAACCAACACACAATTAACTTAAAATATTACAAATCAAAATTTCCAAATTTTGAGCTCATTGAATAGATAACAAGCATTTTTGAAACCAAGAAACTTACCCTATCTGTACTTCCAGCTGTTGCACCAGAGCTCCGAACTTTCTCCTGCACGGACCAGCCCTGCGGCAACCAGCTCTCCATAGAATCAGTAAACGCTTTTCGCTTGACCCGCCCAGCCCCTCCCTCCGTGCTATCCGGGCCCGTCCCGGGATCCGAACGGTTCGGCTGCTGAGGCGCCTTGTGGGGCTTTTTGGTTTGGTTTGGGGTTCGGCCATTGGAGGTGGTGGTGGTGGTGGCGTCAATGAAGGAGCCCGATCGGAGGAGAGGATCAGGGGGTAAATCGGAGTGTAGGGTTCCGGCGCGGTGGTCGGAAAAGTTCGGGCGTCGATCCCGGTGCAGATTTCGACCCGACGATTCGGGGAATGACATTTGGGCGGTCTGTCTGTGTGCTGGGCTGGGAACTGAATAGAACCGGTTTCACTGATTGTATATGTTTAACGAGACAGGGGTAGGTGATGTTGGGCTGGGCCGGGTCAAGTGTGCGTTGAGGCTTTTCAGCCCAATATTATTTTCTGTTTGGGGGGTAGATTTGTGTTCTTGTTCGATACCGAACTTGAGTGCAGCCCGCAGGACCTAGATCAAAGGTCAAAACCGGATCCAAACTGAAAGGTCTGAAGAGAATCCTCAGTATCTGCTTGTTTCTCATCAGAATGGTTTGGAGAAGGCATTGTGTTATCGCTATTCTCTGTGAAATACTAATTGATCACTTTGTTGATAGCGGCTTCTACTTGTCATTGATGTTGCTTGTGCTCTTGATTAGTCGATTATCTTCATAATCACTGTGAAACACCATAGTTTATTGTGATCTGAAGCCAAGTACTGTTCTTTTGTACAACAAGTTGAGTACTAGACATGTTTCTGACTTTGATCAACAAGGTTTCTCTCACAACTGAATAGTATAAAAGCTTCAACAAATCAGACAAGTTCCGCCAGAATAACAGGTAGGATTGGTTATGTGGTTTTAGGTAAATATTCACATCCTCTCCACAATATCTTTTTTTTTCTTTTAAACTTTTGCATAATTCAACTATTTTGTTCTCAATTTGCTAACAATATTTGGGAAGTGAGGTGTTAATAACTGGATACGTCTACAGTTTTGGAATTCTCTTGCTAGAGACTTGAGCCCCCATGAAGTTCAAAAATTAAGACAACTTGATCTCACAAGCCAAAGTGGTTATCATTTACTTGGACTTGTTCCTTCTCATATTTGAAATTTCAAGAACCAGAAACTGTTGTGTAAGTTCCTCCTATGATCCTATCCTTCTATAAATTTCCTTGTCATGTAATAAATGGAACTCACCAAATTCACAACTCAACACCTATCTCTCTATTTCTTTCTGCTTCTCTCTCTAATTATTTAGTTAACCAGATCAGAAATGGGGGTTATGGTTGTGAAATTTCAATCCGAATCACAGCGCATGATAATGATATTATGGATGGCTGCCAAATTGTTTCCACTCAACTTCTGGGATAATAAGGTGCATTAATCATCTTGGTCCTTGCTTTTCACTGAAAGTGCCCAATAGTAGTTCCCAGTAGTGGAAGTAAGCTAGTGAAGTCTTCTAAAAAAGCAGTCAAAGTGGTTATCATTTACTTGGACTTTTTCCCTCTCATGTTTGAATTTTCAAGAACCAGAAACTGTGGTGTAAGTTCCTCCTATGATGCTATTCTTCTATAAATTGCATCTGCTTATCTCTCTAGTTATATAGTTGAGCAGATCAGGAATGGGGGTTTTGGTTTTGAAATTGATCTTAATATACTTGCTTTTCAGTGCAGTGGTCATTCGTTGTTGGAGCTCCCTGCGATTGGGACTCGGAGGGAATGCCACAGATAGGCTGGTGCTGCTTGCCATCAAAACTCAAATAAAGCAAGATCTCCATAATTACAACGTGATGAGCTCTTGGAACGAATCCACGCACTTTTGCATGTGGCATGGTGTAACGTGCAGTCAACGACATTGCCAAAGGGTCACTAACCTGGACTTGCAATCTCAAAATCTGGTAGGGAAACTATCTCCAAACATAGGAAATTTGAGTTTTCTAAGGGAGCTGCGGCTGCGAAATAACAGCTTCAGTCATGAAATTCCTCCCCAAATTGGGAATTTACGTAGGTTGCAGGTATTGCAATTAGACGTTAACTCGTTTAGTGGCAGTATTCCACACAATATATCTGTAGAATTTTTTATGTGTATTTCATGAAGAAACAATTACAAATGAAACATATATATAGGAAAATAAAGTAGACATAAGCCTAACTTGCCTAACTTGCCTAACTTGCCTAATTTCCTAACTTGCCTAACTTGCCTAATTTACACAAAGAATGTTGACTAGCCTAACTTCACTAGTCATCCAACATGTTTATTTCATGCATGCATTTTAACACAAGATATGATTTGCATGCATTCTTCCAACACTCCCCCTCAAGCTGGATCGAGGGGATTCACTGAGCCAAGCTTGCCCAATAACCGATGAAACTGAGATGATGCTAGTGCCTTTGTAAAAAGATCTGCTAGTTGATCATGGCTTCGTGTGAACATGGTCCGGATGATTTGCGTTTGAACTTGAGCTCTGATGAAATGACAATCCAGTTCAATATGTTTGGTTCTTTCATGGAACACAAGATTGGCAGCAATGTGCATGGCTGCTTGATTATCACATAAGCGTCATAGGAGTAGAACTAGGAAACCCTAAGTCTGAAAGAAGCCCTTTAAGCCAAATGAGTTCACACGCAGTGGCTGCCATAGCTCGATACTCAGCCTCTGCGCTGGAACGAGCAATTACCTGTTGCTTCTTACTCTTCCATGTGACAAGGTTTCCACCAACAAATGTACAATAGCCTGTGATTGATTTCCTATCAATTGCATTGCCTGCCCAGTCTGCATCTGTGTAGCCACTAATGACAGTGGACTGATTGTTATGCATTGTAATTCCTTGCCCAATTGAACCCTTAAGATAACGAAGGATTCTCTTAACAAGGTTAAGGTGATCAACAGTGGGAGAGTGCATGAACTGACTAGCCAAGCTCACTGCATATGTGATATATGGACGAGTGATAGTGAGGTATATGAGCTTGCCTACTAATCGTTGATAGTAGCTTACATCATGCATGGCTTCTCCATCTATGTTGAGCTTCAGTTTACAATCAACGGGAGTGATAGCAGGCTTGCAGTCAAGCATTTTTGCTTCTTGAAGGAGGTCCAATACATATTTCCGTTGATGTAGAAACAGTCCTTTTGAAGATGTTGACATTTCGATCCCCAAAAAATACTTTAACCTCCCCAAAACTTTGATAGCGAAAGCTTGATGTAGTGAGAGTTTTAGTGCCTCAATCTCCACGGTATTATCTCCAGTGATGATAAGATCATCAACATAGACGAGGACCACCAACTTCCCCCTGGTGCCAGTTCTTACAAATAACGAAGAATCAGCATTACTTCGCATGAATCCAGCCTTTTCCAGAACAGAACTGAGCTTGGCATACCAAGCTCTTGGGGATTGTTTCAATCCGTATATTGCCTTGTGCAATTTACAAACCATGTTGCCTTTAATACCATCATAGCCTGGAGGAGGTTGCATATACACTTCTTCCTGCAGCTCGTCGTGAAGGAAAGCATTCTTCACGTCCATTTGGTAGAGTGACCATCCACAATTGATTGCAACTGATAGTAAAACCCTGACTGAGTTCATCTTGGCCACCGGTGCGAATGTTTCCTTATAATCTACACCAAAGGTTTGGGTGAAACCTCGAGCAACAAGTCTAGCCTTGTGTCTCTCGATAGATCCATCAGCTTTGAATTTAGTCTTGTAAATCCAACGACTTCCAATAGCCTTTTTTCCTGGTGGTAGTTGAACTAGGCTCCAGGTGCAATTCTCTTCCAGTGCACGAATCTCTTCTTTCATGGCTTGGTTCCATTGTGGGAGAAGAGAAGCTTCTTGAAAGCTTCTTGGTTCATAGTGCTTATCAATTTCACTGAGAAATGCAGCATGAGATGTTGAGAACTTACTAAAGCTGATACATTCATTGATTGGATGTCGTGAGGCATATGTAACATAGTCCTGCAACCTAGCTGGAGGTTTTCTGATTCGAGGATGATTTCTTTTAATCACCTGAGACTCTGTAGAGGGCGGAGAAGGATCAGAGTAGGGCTCGTCTTCACTCTCACTGGCAGTAATTTGGTCAGTTTGAACTTCTTCACAATCTGGACTTACAATGACTGATCTCTTTTCCAACATCGGATAATTAAAGTTTTGAGGGAGTGGGAACATGTCAACTAAATCCTCCCTCTGACTTGTAAAATAGGGATAGTCTTCTTCGAACTTCACATCTCTTGAAATTGTGCACTTCTTAGTGACTGGATTGAAGCACTTGTATCCATTTTGAGTGGTCGAGTATCCCATAAACACACACTTGGTTGCCCTGGCATCTAGTTTGTCATGGTTCAAGGTTTGGATGTGAACAAAACACACACAACCAAACACCTTGAGATGTGTCAAATCTATTTTCCTCCCCTTGAGAACTTCATAGGGAGATTTAAACCCTAGCACACGACTTGGAAGTCGATTGATGAGATAAGTGGCAGTAAGGATGGCAAACGACCAAAATTTCTTTGGAACGTGCATGTGAATCATGAGAGCACGAGTTTTTTCCAAGAGATCTCTATTTTTCCCTCTCGGCTACTCCATTTTGTTGGGGAGTCCCCACACAGCTGGTTTGATGTATGATACCCTGAGAACTTATGTATTGAAGCATGTTGTTGGATAGAAATTCAGTGCCATTATCTGACCTTAAAACCTTAATGTTTGATTAAAATTGCGTTTTAACATGCATGTGAAAGTCTTTGAAAATGGTAGGGACTTCACTTTTTGATTTCATAAGATATAGAAAACTTGTTCGAGAGAAATCATCAACAAATAGAACAAAATATTTAAAACCTTCCATTGATTCAGTTGCAGGTCCCCATACATCGGTGTGTACCATTTCAAAAGGTTTACTTGTCCTAGACATTGAATTACCAAAAGGTAGCCTAGTAAACTTAGAAAATTGACAAGTATCACAAGTAGGATAGGGGTTACAAAAATTTGGAAACAGTTTCGACAAGACAAGTTCAGAGGGGTGAGCTAATCTCCTATGCCAAAGTTGGTTTTCATCTATGGACTTCGATTGAGCTTGAAGAGCCTGAGTGAAACATGCATTCTTGCATAGGTAGTAAAGTCCATTTATGAAGACCCCTTCACCAATCATCTTCATGGTGAGAACATCCTGAAACATTACTTTATTTGGTGAGAAAATAGCACGGCAGTTTAGGGTGTTGGTGATCTTTCCAATTGACAAAAGTTGGAAGGGAAAGGTTGGTACATATAGGGCAGTGGAAGGTGTTTTTTGAGAGAGTAAGTTTATTTCTCCTTTTCCCAAAACTAAGACATTTTTTCCATTTGCAACAGACACATGTGAGGGGCTTGAAATTTTTTTAAAATGATGTAAATTTGTAACTTTGTTTGTCATATGATCTGTGGGACCTGAATCAATTATCCAACAATCAATTTCAGTACTAGTTAATAGGGCAGTAGTAAAGGCTTTGAGTATACCTGATGCTTCTCCCTTTGGAACTTTCTCATTTCCAGCAAGAAATCCGGCAAATTGTCCCAACATAGCTGTGACTACCCTCTTCATTGCCTTGACCATGTGAGTCTTCTCCGTGCCCCTTACTTTGTAGGTAAGCTGCAAATTCATTGATCAATGACAATGGATTGGCAGTGAACTCCATGGATCCTTGTGAGATAGTAGGAGTGTGAGCATTAGCAAGTTGTGCCTTGAAATGAGGTTGAAATTGTTGTGAGGACCTTGGTATCATCCTTCCATCTTTGCTGAACTTAGGCTTGAGTTCAGGATGAAGTTCCCAACACTTGTCTTCCTCATGACCAACACCATTGCAATATTTGCATTTTAGATGTGTGTTTCTTCCCTTGTATACCTTGGCTTCTGAGTTCTTGTACTTTGATGCATATGCCCGAGTCTCCGTTAATCTAGGATTGTGATCAACATTCATAACCTTCTTCCTTGCTTCTTCTCGTTGGATAGTTGCACAAACATTGTTGAAGGTAGGCAGGTCTTGACTCATCAAGATGTGACTCCTTAGGTCCTCGTACTCAGAGCTCAAACTCCCTAACAGCTGATAAATTTTGTCTTCCTCAGCTCGTTTTAGGAGAATGGTAGGATCTGTGGTATGAGGGAGATATACATCCAACTCATTCCACATGGCTTTGAGGCTCCCAAGGTGTTGAACAAATGCTTTCCCTTCTTGTTGAGCACTGGCAATGTCCTTCTTTAATTGGAAGACCCGTGCATAGTTGTTTTGATTTCCATACATATCCTGCAAAGCTTTCCAAAGATCATGTGCCGAATTAGAGTAGCTAAAAATTTCAGCAACATGTTTCTCCATGGTGTTGAGCAGCAATGACATGACAAGTTGATCTTTGCAGAGCCATGCATTGTATGTAGAGGAAGAACTGTCTGGAGCTTCCACGCTTCCATTTACAAACCCTAACTTCCCTTTGCCTCCGAGAGCTAGTGAAACAGCTCGGGACCAAGGAAGATAATTGAACTCGTTCAAGAGAACTGAACACAAACGTTGATTGGTGTTAACCTCAACGTCTGAGAAGTTTGGAGAGAGATTGTGCCGGGTTTCCTCATCATGGTTCACAGAACTTTCTTCAGTCATGACTTAGACTTTGAAAGAAAGAAAAAATTGCAGCAGCAAGAATGGCAGAGACAGGTTACAAATGAACCTGCTCTGATACCATGTATAATTTTTGATGTGTATTTCATGAAGAAACAATTACAAATGAAACATATATATAGGAAAAGAAAGTAGACATAAGCCTAACTTGCCTAACTTACCTAATTTCCTAACTTGCCTAACTTGCCTAATTTACACAAAGAATGTTGACTAGCCTAACTTCACTAGTCATCCAACATGTTTATTTCATGCATGCATTTTAACACAAAATATGACTTGCATGCATTCTTCCAACAATATCATATTGCTTCAACCTTATCCTTGTGAATTTCACTCGCAACAAGTTGGTGGGTAAAATTCCTTTAGAAATTGGATCACTGTCGAAGCTGCAACGTTTTTCATTAAATTATAATAATGTAACGGGACAGGTCCCTCCTTCCTTTGGGAACCTTTCGTCTCTCCGGTCACTAGGTCTTTTTAGTAATAACTTGATGGGAAACATCCCAAGTTCTCTTGGCCAATTGAAAAAATTAACCTTCTTGGGATTGGGGTTAAATCAGTTGTCTGGTAGCATCCCTTCCTCCATTTATAACCTCTCTTCTCTTGTTAAATTTTACGTGGCATTTAACCAAATTCAAGGGAGTATTCCATCAGATATTGGCAAAAGTCTTCCTGATCTCGAATTCTTCAGCGTCTTCTCAAACCAACTTACTGGGTCCATACCTCCCTCAATATCCAATATCACAAGTGTGTGGTTATTTGAGGTTGGGAAAAACAACCTAATCGGACAGGTACCGAATCTCCAAAAGCTTCACAACCTCCTGCGGTTCAACGTTAAATATAATAATATTGGAAGCGGTAAAGATGGTGACTTAAGTTTTCTCTCGGACTTGACCAATGCCACCCAGTTACAGTGGTTGATTATTAACGACAACAATTTTGGAGGGACATTGCCCATGTCAATATCCAATCTCTCGACCAAACTTGAATGGTTTTGGGTTTAGCGTAACCAAATATATGGAAGCATCCCATCTGGGATAGGGAATCTGGTGAGCTTGGAATCATTGCTTTGGGGGGATAATAGCTTCACAGGTAACATCCCCTGGGCTGGTTTGGTATTGATGTGCTTTGAAAAAAAACTGTTGTGAGAATAAGCGGCTGTGCTGTGAGAATAAGCGGCTGTGAAATAAATCAGCAGAGTGTTTGGTAAATTTTTTTGTAAAAGTGCTTTTAGAAAAAAAAAAAAAGCAGTCTGATAGTGGGTCTTTTCATTAAAGAAGCAATGTAGCTTCATGTGCTTTGAAAAAAAGCCAGTTTTCCAAAGCTACAAATAGCAGCTTCAGCTTTTTCCTTTAATTTCAGCTTATTCTCACAACAGCTTCCAAAATAAGCCATTTTTTTTCAGTTTACCAAACGCCTAAAACCCTCACAACTTTTTTTCATGGGTGCTTTTTTTTTAATCACCTCACTCCCAAACCACCCCTAACATGGGTAAGCTTTCAAACCTTGGAATATTACATTTTTCCAATAACAAATTATCAGGAAATATTCCACATCTTGAACCTCATATAATATAAGTAGTTCAGTTAGTTGACGTGGTAGTTGGTCTTTAGCAAGCTTCCTATAGAAAGTAAGAGTTTGGGTTATGTGGCCGTTTTGCAGAAGAAAAAGAAAGAAAGGGGCATTTGATGTTTGGACAGACATAGTAATGGTGCTAGCTGCACCTGCTCCTTGGTGTTTTTCAAAAGAAAATTAAAAAAATGAGAAAAGGCTAATTTGCACCCGTTGGACATTATGATGCCAATTTGCTTGGTTGAGAAACTTGTGGCTTTTCTAATGGAGATTGCGTAAAGGTGCAAACAATTTGTTAATGGTTGTGAAAAATAAGTTTCATACTAGAAAAAATGCACACACTCTACATGGGTTTTGAAATTGTAACCCACAATTTAACATACCCATTTCTAAATTATTCAGAAATCAATCAGAGAAAACTTCAAGTAGAAGAAAAAGGAGTTCTCAATCAGAGAAAACTTCAATTTCATGCAAGTTTTTTTGTTCTAATTTCAGAGCTTAACAATGCAAGATTGGAATTTGCATTTAGTTCAAATTTCAGGGCTTAACAATGCAAGTCTTTTTGGATGGCAAACAAGTTAAAAGGTCAGTGACTCACTACCCTTCAGTTGCTTTCGGGCAAGAACATAAACAACACAGCTGGGCTAATTCGTCTATAAAAGGAGGAAGAGGGTCCAGAAACAAGGACACTCAACCAATCAAACAAACAAACATACAACTTGTCTCTCCGCCAAGCAAATACCCAGAAAGTCGTGCTTTGTCCAGACTCTGCACCCTTTTAGCCTTAGACTTCCTTAGAAAGACATCTTTTGTCTATGTAAAAGCTCTGCTACCTTTTCCCTAAATGTTGTAGTATCGATCTTTCATATGTAAACTCATTTCTAGTCATCCCCTTTAGTACTCAATCCTTTTTGTAAACTGCCAAGGGAAGAGACTGCAAGATGTTTTAACCTTGCCTGACAAGGTGAAATCTTGCCCGACTCTCTTTGTTTTTCCCTTTCCATTAATAGATATGGTATTATAATGTATCCTTCAATAGATATGCAAGTCATTTTCGGTCTCTTAATGATCCGAAGTTCCATTCACTCTCAGATCTGGTTCACTTAATACTTTTACTATCGTGAAAGTAAATGAAACTGATGTTTTGATTAGATCTGGACCTCCACATTTTGAAGCATATAAGATAAACAAAAGTCATTGATCTCAAGGCATAAAAAAGAACTTAATGTGGACTTAACTCATCCACGACAATCTTTTGATAATGAGAAGTTAGAGTAACTTGGGGCGCAAGTAACCGGCTTAAATACACTCATTCTACATCTGCCATAGAGAGATGGCAGTGGCATGCCTTAGCACTTAGTTAGTTTTGATTGCGAGCCTCACGACCTACACCTAAGGCCCGACAAAGGCACCTTTAAGAACTAACTATGTCCTCTTCTTGTAGCCCGACAAACAAACAAGAGCCCGACAGCCAACCAAAGTGCCAACTCCTCGGGGAGCTGTGTGCTTGAGCTAGGGACCTTTCCCGGTGAAATTCTTGCCTGAACAAGCCCTTTAAAATTGTGGGATGGACTACCATGAGTTAGGCATCGGCAACTACGGCTATGAAGGAACAAAAAATGTAATATTTCTTTTAATTTTCTTGAATAATAACATTTCTTTTTAATTTTCTGAATATGATATATTTTTTTTCTTAAAAGCCTCATACCAATGTTCTTTTTTCCTTCAGTAAAGTATTTAGGAATACATGGAATGTTTTTCTTCGTACATTGTATCAGCCTTAGAATAATACACCAACATACATAACGGTCCATACTCCATACATTTTATAAACATAGCAATTGCTTTGTTTTGGTAATTATATGGAATAATTGTAAATTCAAGAAACAAATCTGATATAGAAGGATTCTTTATCCATAAATATGAAAGAAACTGAAGCAAAAAATAAATTATATGAGATTTTGCTTCTTTGCATTTATCATAATAAAAAAAAATTAACATAACAGGATTGGTGTAAAAAGATATATAAAATATTTGGTAAGAAACGAATAAAGGAAAATACACAAAAGGAAATTTCTCAAATGCGGTATACTAGCAGGGATTTTGGAGTTATATTTGTGGGGGTTTTTTTTTCTTTCTCTCTAATGGCCTACGGTACACCTGTCTATAACAGCACCAATTTGTAATATGTAACAAAAAAATTAGACATTTGTAATCAATTAAGCAATTTGGTTGTTGTGCGACTTGATACTATGGTTTAAAGTATGTGCAATGACCTTTGTGCCTTAGAAAGTTCAAGAGAGTACATTTTAACTAACTTGTTATTTTACGAGTTACAGAGCTATTTA